GAACTAACTTCCGCACGGTTTTGTTTTTGGGTCTCCCCAAAATGCGTCTTGGGATATATCGGTTGTGAAGGAGAACGAAGCATGCCATATAAGTGGCTGTGGATACCTTCACTAGTAAGACGCGTTTTGGGGAGACCCAAAAGCAAAACCTTGCGGAAGTTAGTTCCCAGAGCGGACAATATCTTACTACGGGTTAAGATGCTGGGCTGTTACAGTGGTATCAGAGCCAGTACCCGGGCCATGTGCGAGCGAGGACGCTGGGCCCCTGTGAGGGGGGTGGATCTAAATATCCCACATCGGTTGTGAAGGAGAACGAAGCATGCCATATAAGTGGCTGTGGATACCTTCACTAGTAAGACGCGTTTTGGGGAGACCCAAAAGCAAAACCGTGCGGAAGTTAGTTCCCAGAACGGACAATATCTTACTACGGGTTAAGATATTGGGATGTTACATATTAGATATATTTTCAGTAAAATCTTATACTAATTTAATAGTAATTTATTGACATAGTTCAAAAAATTATTATGGAAATTTATTTGATTAAATATAGTATCATCTATTGTTGTATATATTAATTTAATTAATTATATTCACTATTCAAAAGTATTAAAATATTTAACGAAATAATCAGAATAACTACATTTAAATCATAATAACTTAATAAATAAAAAATATTACTACAAGTTTCTAAAATATAGTCAATTTAACTATCAAAAGGTACTCCCCATTGATTATATCATCTGCAATGAAAATACTATTGAAAATATAAATAATATATTGATAAAAAAAAATTTTGATGGTCGGGTGCAATTCAGAATTATAAATTTCAGCTTAGTACATTAAAAAACTATTCAATCTCTAAGAATATATATATTTTTTATATACTATTTTGTAAATGAAAAATAAGTTAATAAAAAACCAATGTATAATAATTTAAATTATAGCACTTGGTAATTATGGAAATATATAATATATCTAAATATTCGAATAGATACTATGTAACTCATTATATATGTTGAAAAAATGAATTAAAGAAATAAATATATAAAAAATTAAAATTACTAAAATTAAAATTTATTTATCAAAGTTTTTATTAACATTTAATGCATTTAATAATCATAGCGGAAGATAGATATTATGGGTTAACGTTGGTCAATTATCAAGCAATGTGCACATTATGAATTGTTAAAAAAATTATAAGACTATGATAAACGACAATTTTATAAATACTTCTAAGTAATTTGTCTGCAAATATCATATAATCTTATACTATGTAACTCATTATACAGGTCAAAAAAATGAATTAAAGAAATAAATATAAGAAAAAAAATTAAAGTTACTAAAATTAAAATTTATTTATCAAAATTTTTATAAACATTTAATGCATTTAATAATCATAGCGGAAGATAGATATTATGGGTTAACGTTGGTCAATTATCAAGCAATGTGCAAATTATAAATTGTTAAAAAAATTATAAGACTATGATAAACGACAATTTTATAAGTACATCTAAGTAATTTGTATGCAAATATCATATGATCTTATACATTTATAATAGTTTATAAACTCAAAAATAATAAAAATTATATTAAACAGTAAAAAACTACAAAAAAAAATATAAAAATAGAAATTAACAATAATAGTAAATAAATAAATGTCATATTATTGCTGAATAGAATATTGTGGAGAAGATAATTTCATATTGTCTTAAATATTTTATAATATTTAAATAAAAAATATATTTTGTATTGCACCCCGTGCATCGCACGGGTGTCAACACTAGTTTTTTTAAGATGGATTAGAAATCGGTTTATTGAAATAAACTTTTTTATATTTAACATTATTTTAATATAAATAAGATAAATATTTAATAAAATTAAGATTTATAAATTATAGATCAATTAATTTAAATATTTGAAAAAATTTAAATTGTTAAGATATTTAATTAATATTTTTTACATAAATTTATTAAAAAAATACTATATATAAATATATTAAAATATTAATAAATTAATTTCATGTCCAACTAATAAATCATTAAAATAACTTGATCGGTTTGAGACGGTCCAATTCTGAAATATTGGATTTACCATTCATAATAAAAGTTAAAATTGCACTCCACATTGTGCAATATATAATTTAAATTACCGGCTCAGTTGCATTATCGGTGACACGTGATACAGTATCATGTGGTGTAAAATTAAGTGCACGTGTTATTAAAGTATCAACTCCTTTATCTGCTTTAGGACATGTTTACTACTGGGTATGTGTTCCATCACATAGTCTTCTTTCAAGAACTGAGCGTTCGTACTAACGATCACACTCTGGTCCTTGGGACTATAGAACATACCACCTCTTGTTTCATTGGGATACCCCACAAACAACCTCACTTATATTCGTCGTTCCAACTTATCAGTATATGCCCTCAACACATGTGTTGCACTACTCTATATTCGAATATGTCTTAGATTTGACATGCGCCCCATACACAATTCAATGAGTGCAGTTGACACTGACTTAGAAGGTACCAAATTCAGAATGTGACTTTATAAAAAATAGCACTTTTTTATGACAACAAAAATTATCGCTTTTTAAAAAAATTAACACAACTGAATTTGATATTCTATGAAACAAATATAAGTTGTCGGTCCCAATTCTTCCTTGGTGGAGTAGCACCGCTTGCTTGTACAGTTCGATGCCAAGCCGGTTACGCAGGAATCGAGGTCAATTATATCGAGCCTTTGCCAATGCGTTAATAAAAAATTGCACTCCAAATCGTGCAATATATAATATAAATTAAATGTGCAATCCACATCGTGTAATATATAATATAAATTAAATAAATATTATTATTTCATTAAAATAAATCATTAAAAATATTTTTTTACTACAACATTGCTCTTATAAATACCGGGGTGCATGCTTTCATAATCAACCGTCAAAACAACAATACAATTTTAGCCACATAACAAAAGTTTGCATTGCAATATGGATCAACCATGGGGTATAACAAAGCAAGTTACTAGGTCCAAGAGACCAATGGTGGAGCCGCGGGTCGTACGAATGTTTCAAATAAAAATATTTGAGTCATCTTCAAAAACATGTTGAAAATAGAATGTTTTAAAGAACATGCGAGATATCCTACAAAAGATGTTGGAAAAAATATTTCATGACGCCGATGTATAACTTTCCATTTTTTCACCATTGAACATGTTCTTCTGTCATTTACTAGAGCCTGCAGTTTGTGGGAGTTGGCTCTAGTTTCATGGGATGGCCTCACTCATTATACCAGTTCCTTCAATTTTGGTGGCAGCAAGTATGTTCTTTGGACAATTCTGAGGTGGCAGAACAAAGGATTCAAGTGACAACCTACTGGCTATGGTGGCTCTGGAAGACCTGGAACCTCAGGATATTTCAAGCTTCCCTCATTTCAGTCCACATTGTGATTAGAGCTGCTCAGATAGACTGGTTGGAGTTCTCTTTGGTTTAGTAGGCTTTTCATTTATAGTCTTTCTTTGTATGCTCTCTTTGTTTGGTTTGCTGTTTCTATTGGGAGTAGGATATCCTAGCTAGGCTTTGTGGTAGTGGATAGACTCCTGCTCTTTTTGCTGGTTTTCTTTTGTGCTCTATTCTGGTTGTTTGCTTAAGGTTCTAGGTCATCATGTTGACGTGCCTCTCAATTTGCTTTTCGGTTTGGTAGGGTATTGCCCTTGTACTTGAACGTTGTTTCCGTTTAAGTTTTATCCTCTATCGTTTCGGGAAAAAGATAACATTTTCTCCAAGCTATATATTTTAAAATTAATCTCTTTATTTTTATCATATTAGGCGATTTTTTTATGTATCTAATTGATTTTAGTGGCATAACCAATCACTTAAAATTACTTAAATAGTTGCTATAATAATAATACTTTTTATGTTTTTTAACTAACTAATTGGTTATAACTCCTTAAATTTGTAAAAATAAAAACATAGTATTCATTAAAATTTATGCAATGTATGTAGTTTGTATATATAAATTATTTATAATTATAATGCTCATGTATACTAATAATCATAAATATAAATGTGATATACTTGTTGATAAACGGATTTAATCAACGTGATCAATGTAAAAATAATAACAAAGATTGCAAAAAATGAGATTTTTATTTAAGATTTTGAAGTCGGTTACAGAACTAGGAAGTCGGTCTTTCAATGTTCACTAAGTCGGTAAACAAAGAAAAACCGAGGTGAATATATGTGCTTTTATCACTTTTTTGCCGAATCCTCGTATTGTTTTCGATGTTGCTATTTATAGTTATGCTTGGCACACCTCCCTAGGCAAATCAGCTCTGTTTTAATGAAGATTTGACATTTTAGGGGCGGCGATGACGTAGACGAGCTTTTTAGGCAATGATGAGCATGGGCGCGCCTCTATCTGTGTGACAAGCGTCACATCTGTCGGATTGAAGTCGGTCCGTTTCACGAAGTTGGTATTTTGATAAAATTTCTGTCTTCTATGACTTCTCGATAAATTATCCTTTGACCGAGGTGGTCTTTTTTGAGGTTGAAACGATGTATTCTGACGACCTTTAAGATTTGCTGAATTATTCACAACATCATATGAGAGCGTAATATAAGCACCGAGATGAGATTCCCGAGATGTCATATATTCTGTTTTTCATCGTTCAAGATCCAATCCGCGGCTTAGACTACACGATTTCTTTTAATCTAACCATAATTTCAAGATAAAGTATCTTAATATCAACAATACTTATTATATAATTTATAATTTTAAAAATATTATATTTTATTTATGTTTGTGCACATGATCGAAGACTAGTGATATGTATTGCAACGTTCTCTTCAAGTTGTAAAAATAATATAAGATAAATGATATCAATGCAAAATTATAGGGTATCTATAATAAATGGTATTTTTTTACTAATTTGTAGATGCATATAATTTTAATATAAAGTTTATTTATTATATTAATTTCTCAAACATATCGTGGTACTGGTTCTTTTGTTATTTCATTTTAATCACGAGGAAGAAAGTTTTCTTTACGTTTCTGATCTCGGAGGAATAGTGAAGGGGGAAACACCAAGGCCAAGAGCCGAAAGCTGGCGGTCGATTTTTGGGGGGCTGACCCCATGAACAAGTTTCTCTTCTAGGGTTGTTTTATTCTTATCTTCTTGTTGGTGGGTTTTGGCTTTAATTGAGGGGAAAAATAAAAAAGAAAAAAATAGGGTAGGATTTTGGAGGAGATGGCTCCAGGGCGTAAGCGTGGAGCGAAAGGCGTGAAAACGAAGACGGAGTTGAGTTTGGGTGATCTCGTGCTCGCCAAGGTCAAGGGTTTTCCTGCTTGGCCTGCCAAGGTATATTCTGACTCCCTTTTTTTGGATTTTCTTTTCCTGTTTTTCTACCTATTATTGCTTTGATTCGATTTTGTTTTTGTGTTTTCTCGAATAGATTTGTGTTTTTTGGGTTTGGAATCTATATTAGTTCGCATTTGAAGAACTTCTCGCGTTCGTGGAGTGACCTTGAGTTGCTTGGCTTGATTGGAAGTACTCCTACTATAACTGATTATGCCTTATGAGTGTGTTAATATGAATGGGAACGAAAGGAGACAAGGCAGAAAACACTGATGTTTCGGGTGAGGGTTTTAGATACTTTTGGTAAGCGATCCACTTTTAGAAAATAGATATTGATTTGGGAGTTTGTGGAAGGCAACCAAGAGGCATCTGAATTAGGGTTTAGAAGGAAACACTATGGGTCGTTGATTATAGCTTGTATCTTGATGCGTTTATGGTCCATCACGCTGCCGCGTGCAGTTGTGGGGAATTTGGGGTTTGCGGGTAATAAGATGATATCTTTGTGCATTTATTGCCCATTGAGGCTGCCCCGTTGTTTGACAATGTCAATGTGTGCTAGTATATGCATTAATGATTTTGTTTTGGTTTGAGATTTCTTCAAGTTAATGTCGTATCATGATATAAATCTTTATTTTTGGATAATGAGGTGGTTTCCTATTTCTGAATGTCTCTATCTGGATATGAAATTGTTGAAATCCCTGTTTAACTCAATAGGAAACAGATTATCATCTTCCAACATTGATAGATAGGTTTTTGGTTAGTTTTCGTGTAACTTGTTTTTTTAATTAGGTTGATTGAAGGGTGTTCAGCTTTTCTTGGCTGTGTTAATAGCAAACTCCGGCTTTTGCTGATTGGAAAAATATTTTGTGGCTTATTCCAGATTAGCAGGCCTGAAGACTGGAAGCATGCACCTGACCCTAAGAAGTTTTTCGTCCATTTTTTTGGTACAAATGAAATGTAAGTACTTTCCTCATATCTCCTGTCTTCGTATATTTATGAAAAGGTTTATTGCAAGTTGGAAAATTATCAAAATAATATTTCTTTATTTTTATATATGTACTGAGTGGCAGCATAATCTTTATGCCATATGGCTTTTCCTTGGGGCAGATGATTTACTAAATGCCTGTTACTAGATTCGAAATGAGAAATTCTGTTTCTTAAATCCTGTATTAGGTGTGTTTTCCCTATTTCTCAGATTTGTTACAATGCTTGTCGTACGTAATTGTAGTTATGAGCCTCGATTTGTGTAATCTGATGGGCTTACTTTGCCGATTGAATTGGTCAAGTATATGCGATTCAGGAAACTTTTCTTCTTGTTGCATGAAATTTCAATTGATCAAGGATATTACCAGTTGAATATTGTATGGATTGTAGTGTAGATAAATGCAGTTTTATAAAGTTACGGCCATAAATTATTGGGGTCAATGCACAAGCAAGTCATGTGAAGCATATAGGAGATATACAGAAGCAAAGATTTGAATAAATTGTTTATCTTGTGTTATTTGAAAAGGCATGTGATTTGATTTTTGTTATCTGAGAATAGACGTGGCAAAAGCCAGAAAATTACACGTGGACTTCTGTCAAGGAATCCAAGGAAAAGATGCAATATGAAGTAGCCAATTCATGATGTCCATACGTCGGTTTTAATTTTGGAAAGAAGAAAGTCTATCCAGCGATTTTTTTGGTCTCCCGCACCTTTACTTTTAAGCTGCAAGTCACCTCTCATAAAAAGAGAGCTTCTAGAGCTCCTCAAATTGGTCAAATTTAGTACTATTCTTTTGTTACTTGAATGGGGAAACCCATAAGTTTCCAATGTTGTGACCGTATTTTGATAATAGAACTCTTATATGATTGTCACTGTTCATATGTTGATCTTTTGACTTAAGATACCGTAGGAATTTGAGCCACAAGTGGAAGCTAGAAAGTAAGGTAGTGATGATATAGCTGCAATGGGTTCTTCCAAGTTGACTTGTGACACGACAACCTCAGTATAAACATCATAGGTTGATACTTGAGTAATTTGATTTTCATCTGTGATGGCCTTTCCAGCAAGTATATCAAGCCCAATTTTCTGTTGAAGGCTTTTGCTTTGCTGTTAGATATGCCACATAGCAGTGACCTCGCCATTAGATTTGTAGTTATTTACAACTCGAATTACATATTCCTATTTTTTTTTAATTTAGTTTTATTTAAAAAATACATCTAACTACAAGCTGGCACTTTATTGGTCATTTGGTCTTCAGTTAATGATGACAAAAAACTGAAAAGTACTTTCAAAAGAATTATAATCAGTTTTGACATGTTTCAGATATATTCTTGCCCTTAGATTTTGGTAACTTGATTGATTAAAGGATAACGTTCACATTTTGAATGCTTTATCTAGTGTTAATATCTTTACTTTTAAATTATTCATTATCTAAGTCACCTTTTTAAATAAATGGTTGATATGCTTGGAGTTACTTGAGATGAAAAATATTTTCGTCCCTTTACGCGATTGTGTGGCTGCTTTTGGTATTCTTATTTATGTTGAGGATGTTTTTTTTTTTTTAAATTTAATTTGATGTCATCTATCTACAATATGTTTGCTCTTGATTAATGATGTTGTTATGGAGTTATTGCATTGCTCGAGAGTTTTGAATGATCCTTGAGAAAGTGAGTTCTTGGGGTTCTGTAAATGTAATTTGTGGCAGAGATATTTCCCTATTATCTTCTTCATGTCCAAAGCGTTTCTACAATTTGTTGCTAGTTCTTGCTAATTTTATTAGTATAGTATTACTACTTTTGTATTTTAATAGTCTTAAACTGTTTCTTCTTAACAGAGCTTTTGTCGCTCCTGCCGATATCCAGGCATTCACTAGTGAAATAAAAAATAAGTTGTCTGCTCGATGTCAGGGTAAGTCAGCCGGAAACTTTGTCCAAGCAGTGAAGGAAATTTCTGAAGAATTTGATGTGTTGCAGCGAATTAAGTTAAGTGGTACAAGAGAAGATAATAATGCAGAAAATATAGCCTCTGAGGCACATTCTGCTGATCCAGTAGAAGATGATGCTTTAGAAGTTAGCGCAGATGATGAAATCGATAGGGAAGAACCAAAATGCAAATTGGAGATCAATGGGTTGAGTGATCAGGGCTCTGGAATTGGGCGTGCACAAAGAAAAGGTGAAATGGATTTTCAAGATGTAAAACCTTGCTCGTCACATGACATTGATCGTAGTCCACCTCCATATATATCTCCCGGAAAGAAGAGCAAGCTTTCTGCAAACCCTTCTAATCTTCGGAAAAACTCTGTTTTAGGATCTACCCCATCTCGTCATGCCTCTGTGAAGGAGGAAGCTTCTCATAAAGTCAAAGCTGAAGGTGGATGCTCTGATGGTGGCCGGAGTGAATTTGCTGATAGTCGCAAGTCAAAGCTGTCAAAGGGGTTAAAGAGGAAGCAGGAAGAACTGCTAAGAAATAGTGGTTCGATTAAATCTCCAGAAAATGCTGGAGATGGGATGCAAATAAAATATGCTTCGGGCGGTAACATGAAGGTGTCATCTGCTGATAATTCAAGGTTAGGCTCAGATCTTGGCGGTAGTACGAAGGTGAAAAAGTTGCTGAAAGAGAAGAAGCGTCCTATGGCAGTAGATAGTCGATTGGATAGTTCGGAGGAGCATTACGAAGTTAACCCCAGTAAAAAGATGAAGCTCCAACGCGACCATGGTAAACTAACATCTCGGACAATTGAAGCCCCATCTCCTGCCCAAATATCAAAATCTGCTGATACAGTGGACGGTGCTCAGATGTTAAGAGCTAAAACAAGCAGGAAGGCTGACCTTATCAGTCCTGTTGATCAGTACACCAAACTGGATAAACCAAAGTCTAAACAGTTGGCATCAGGTGGGAATGTAGAGAATCATCATCCCTCTAGAGTGGATACAATTAATAACCTACCAAACCAATCTGCTGCAGAAGATGATCCCGGTTTGGCAAAGCGTGATTCTCTGGCAGAAGGAATGGTGGCCACTTCTGCTTTGATTTCTGAAAATTTAAATGGAGATTCTGCATCTAATAAAAATGGCTCGGGGAATCCTAACAAAGTTCGATCTTCAGGCATGCAGCTGCCAAAAAAGCGGAGAGCTGTCCGCATATGTGATGATGATGATGATGAATTGCCTAAAACACCAGTTCATGGAGGAGTTCCCCAGGGCCAAAAGATTTCTGCTAATCCTCTCATATCAGAGTCGAAAAACAAAACTGTCAAGCGTGATGAGGGTTATGCAAAAGATCGACCCGTCCTTAGAAATTCAGGAATAATTGATGATGCCTTAAAAAAAAGAGCACTATCTTCTAGGTTGCCAAACAAAACTTCATCACCAGTTGCTGAGAAAGGAATCGAGAATAGAACTAGAGAAGTATCAGCCGAATATTTGTCTCCTAATCAACGTAAGGTGGATTCCGGAAAGATGTCCTCCGTAGAGGCTAAATCAGCCCTTGATTCCTCTCAATCTGTTAGTGTTGTCAAGCCATTAGTAGAACCACACAAGAAGCACTTGAGCAAGACACCGGTTGTTAATTCCCAGAAGAAAGTTCCATCGGGAGCTAGTAGGGGTATTGCTACAGCTGCTGATGGATCATCAATCAAGCAACCGACTATTGAAAGAAATAATCCAACTTCACCTGGAGAGAAAAAAAGTACTCCACTGTCGGGTTCCCAGATCAACGATTCCCTTCTTTTGGTTGGGGATCTGGATGGTAATGTTACTGCACTTAGTGAAAGGTAGGTAAAATGTTATTGATACCCAGAAGATAAAAAATTAAATGATTTGAAAATTTTTATCTCATTTTTGCTGCTTTTAATCAGGTCGAATGTTGGTAGTGACTCCAAAACTAGTTTCTCGGTTAATTCAAAAATTTCAGACTCTGTTACATCCATGAAACATCTCATTGCTGCTGCTCAGGCGAGAAAGAAGCAAGCAAACTCTCAGAGCTCTTACTTAAATCATCTTCTAGTGTTTCCTGATGCTGACATGAGTCCAAGCCCTAATCCTGGTACACTGCTGGTTGAATCAAACAAACCACTCCATTTGGATGTGGAAAGGTTACAGCCCAATCCTCCCTCTGATGTTCGTCAATTTTCATCAGTCACTGACAATGAGAAGGACGAACTTCAGGAGAGGAGGGTTAGTTCAGGTCGTCAAGCCACTGGAAGTTCTCTGAGTGGGGATACTGAGGCAGCTGTTGCACGTGATGCTTTCGAAGGAATGATAGAGACACTTTCAAGGACCAAAGAAAGTATTGGTCGTGCGACTCGTCTTGCAATTGATTGTGCAAAGTATGGAATCGCCAATGAGGTTGGTAATTTATAACTACAAATTCTCTTCTGCTGGTCTTCTTATTTGACTATATGTTTGAGAATAAGATGGGACTGTATGTACTAAGTTCTTTCTTTAGTCTCTGTCATGCTTTCCTGTTTGTTGTTTCCATAGGATTACTTTCGTAAAATTGTCATTAGCCTGCTTGATGAGAGTCACCTTCCTCTGGTTGGAACTTAATCTTAACGTTATATTCTTTGTCAGTTAATTTCCTTCTAGTAGATCTCCTTTGGATCTCTGCTCCATAAACTAAGTTTTACTGATTGACTTCAATGTATTATGCCATTCTCCATGATATGTCCGGTTTAAATTATTTATTGTGGGCCATCAATAGTGCAAGACATGTAGCATTCAGGTCTCTCATGTGTCTTGCAAGTTGCAACTTCTTTAAGTTTTGCTTAAGCCTTAAAGAGGATTATGGAGATGGATATAATTGCTTCAGGAAGATGAATCTTACCTTTGGCTATTTTGTTTGTTCTAGTTTCATTGCTTGTATTGGGTTCGCAGTGAGCATAATGCAATGTTATTAATGGCGGATGGCGGCAGGCCAAAATCCCGCCGTGGCGTCATATGGCGCTATTATAACTGCCATCCTTCACAAATTTCGCATAGGCGGTTTGGAAGAAATCCGCCACGCCATACCGCCGTCATGGCTGCCATTTGATAACATTGGCAGAATGTGATATGCCTTACAACAGTCGAGATTTGAGTTTGTTGAGATTGTGAGTTATGAGAGGCGGAGATCTATTGATCTCTGATTGAAAGTTGTGGATCACAACTCTTTTTGGAGAACTTGTTTCTATCGTTTTCCATCCCTTCTAGACTAAGAGGACATGAAAGAATGTTCGTGGATTCTTCTGTAGCATGTTAAGGTTTCCATAAGATGTACAATATAGCTATCTTTCCATTTTACATGTGTTGGAAATTATTTGTGCCATATTGGTTAGTATTGGGCTGCTATTGTGTAGAAGTGTGGGTTTGACACCCTTTCCCTTTGGGATAGTTTTTGGAGGTCACTTTTACCGAGGTCTATATATCATGAGATCAGAGAACCCGAGTTTGTTTGTTTGAAGGCGATGTTGGTTTGGACCTGATCCATTTGGATTGGTACACTTTGTGTGAGGGCGTGTGTTAGAAGTTATGTTTGTCCCACATTGATTTGTCGTTGGGCTGTTATTGCAACTGTGGATTGCGTATCCTCCCTCTTTGGGCTAGCGTTAGGAATGAGTTCTGCTTCTACCAGACCCATTTATCAACATGCTAGAGATTCATTTGTTGCATCATATGTAAGTGCTCATATAGACATGGTACCCTATACGTGGGGGCGTGTGTTAGAACCTACATCACTTTGTTTTTGTGCTGTTATTGCATATAACTGTGGATTGCGTATCCTCCCTCTTTGAGCTAGCTTTAGGAATGAATTCTACTTCTACCAGACCCATTGATCAACATGCTGGAGATTTCGTTGTTGCAATCATATGTAAGTGCTCATATAGACATGGGAAAAATTAATATGTCATTTCATGCTCAAGAAGATATAAATATTAAGGCTTGCTGTTAGGTTAGAGTATTTTCTAGCTACATGTGGCCAATGTAGAATGATATTTTAATTGCAATTTCTGTAGATATTATTGCTCTAGTATTTATTTGGTTTTACAGTTTTAGAATCGGTCAATTGTGATTTTGAGTATTATTCGCATCATGATGCATGGAGTAGGTGATATTCTTTCGGTAACTTATTCTTTAAGATATTTTAATAATCTTTACATATCTCTTAATCCAATTTTTTTCTGTTCAGGTGTCTTAGTATCAGGCGCATGCCACAAATGACTAAAAAGAATATTGGATTAGTGGTAGATGTAATAGGAAGTTTGGAATTCTGACTCGTTTGAGGATCAGGGTCTGCTAGGGAATATAAGGAACTATAGTAGTCCAGTTTTGACCTGATTGTTTCAAATATAATTGGTTTATATGCAATCAGATTTGTCAAATTCTACATTTCCGTGATTCTTCAACAACTTAATGACACCAGTTCTGTTTTATTTCAGGTTGTTGAACTTCTAATCCATAAGTTGGAATCCGAGTCAAGCTTTCATCGCAGAGTGGATCTGTTTTTCCTTGTTGACTCTATAACCCAGTGCTCTCATAGTCAGAAAGGTGTTTTCTCGTAATGTACTCTGTTCCGGACACGCACACACACACAAGGACGAAAAGGAAAAAAAAAATAAAATAAAAACTGTGTTGATAGATTTGGATTCTTGAGATATAGAACTTTGTGGCTTCTAATAAACGCTACCTGTTATTGTTAAAATATGTCCCAACTTACACACACACAAGGACGAAAAGGAAAAAAAATAAAATAAAAACTGTGTTGATAGATTTGGATTCTTGAGATATAGAACTTTGTGGCTTCTAATAAATGCTACCTGTTATTGTTAAAATATGTCCCAACTTAATTCTTCATAGTCCTGTTTTACTTATTCCATCATTGGAGGCGCTGCCTAGTTCTGAACTTTTGATATGTTCTTCAGGAATTGCAGGGGCGTCTTACCTTCCTATCATCCAAACAGCTTTGCCCCGTCTCATTCGAGCTGCTGCTCCATCTGGGACTGGTGCTCATGAAAATCGCCGTCAGTGTCATAAGGTGATTATAATTTCTTTGATGTTGCTCTTTAGATCTAATATAAAACAACTAATCCACAATTGTTTGTTAGGTGTTGCGATTGTGGTTTGAGAGAAAAATATTTCCGGAATCTGCTCTCCGCCGTCATATGGATGATATTGGAGCGATGAATGGTGAAACGTCAACTGGTATATCCCAAAGGCGTCCATCCCGAGCTGAGAGAGCTTTTGATGATCCGATCAGAGATATAGAGGGTATGCTCGTGGATGAGTATGGAAGGTCAGCAAGCTTATTCTTTTGCTTGAACAGTTCTTCCTTTTTATTTCCTATTCTGATTATACTTCTAGCATGGGCATACTTTGTGGGCTTTGTATTTGCTTTTCACTTTGTTATATGATATTGCTGTGCAACCAGTTACATAGCCCAGCAAGTTGTGGTCATTATATGGACTTGGGATTGTTCGTTTCCATAATTTGTATTGTTATCTTGTTTTCCATTTTCAACAGGTAATAATGTTGACTAGAGGTAGACTTTTTTTTTTTTTGGTAAGTTTGTGGGGTTCTTAGCTTCACCCAGTTACTAACCTCCAGAACTTTCTAGAAACCATCATCAGAACTTTCTAGAAACCCCCATATTTTATATTTACCGAAAAACATCCTATATTATGATACATCCTGATTTGTCATATCTGATTGTTGAAACACCTCATTCACATTTTCTTTGTGCCTTTTTGCCATGATTGATATTGTTGTATTTCAATTAGCTGACGGACTGTCTCTCCTTTGGTTTCTTAGATAATCTAAAACATGTAAGAAAGTGTGTGTGTGTGTGTGTGTGTGTGTGTGTTTGTGTGTCTTTGTGTTGTATCAGTGACACATGCAGAGATTTCTCTCTGATGTGTGTTTATTAATTGTTTAACTGTTTGCTTATAGAGAAGAAAACACAGCTATATGTCATGGTTCATGTAGTGTGAGAAAATGCTGATTTGCAGCATCCAGAGATGCCAGCTATTCTTTGAGAGCATGATATTGGCTTGTCATGGATAAACTTTTGTCCTTCATGTTTTATATACCCAAATTTTTCACCAACTCTACTCGTATGTCTCCACTCGCCACCATGTGTTATTGTTATCTGTATAGTGTATTGTCATTGCTGCTGTGTTTGATGTCTCTAGTTGATTTACTTTGCATAAATATAAATGTCCTAATTCAAACTAACGCAAACATATATCTGGATCTTTGATGATCACTTTGGCATACATGTGTAGTTAATTAATTTGTCTTTGCGTGTGATGGTTATGATATCCGGTACATGCTCATTTTTTAAGTTCTGATTGGATTTAATTGATTTTTTATTTTTTTTTTTCAATTTGTTTCAGCAATGCTACATTTCAATTATCTGGATTGCTACCGTCTCATTTATTCGACGAAGAGGAGGAAAACGACGAAAATATTCAAACAGTGCACAAGGAAGTTCCAGACACATCACCATCCGAGCGTCCCCTTGTTGATCCCGAGAATAGTAACGTCACTCCAAGTGACCGGCGCCACTGCATACTCGAGGATGTCGATGGTGAGCTCGAGATGGAAGATGTTTCCGCACAACCAAAGGACGAAGTCCCATTTTCTAGAAACAGCAAAAGTTCTGATGGGCTCTTTCCATCAGTTTCGATTGCTTCCGAGTTTTTACCTTCTCCCGAGGGCTCTCCACCACTGCCGCCTGGTTCTCCTCCGGCAACCCCACCTTTACCCACTTCTCCGCCACCGCCTCCACCGCCGCCACCTTCATCCCCGCCACCATCTCCTCCGCCTCCACCACCATCTCCACCATCACCGCCACCTCAGCCACCTTCAGATCAATATCAGTTCCCCCCTTTGCCACCTCCGCCGCCTGTGGGCCCACCACCACCATTTATTTCAAATCAATCATTGCCACCTCAGCCTGCACTGATGCCGCAACATATGCCATCGACAATATCATCATCTTCTCAGCCATTGACGTATCACCCACCTCCTCCGATGCATGATATTGGTGGAACACCATCTGTAAGGGCGTGTTTGTAATACAAATATTTCCGCTTAAAAATGAAGTTTTTTTTGGTTAATCAGAGTTAATTTTGAAAAAAAAAAAAGTGGTATGGTCAGTTGTCAGCTGGATTTCGATTTTATATTAAAATAATTTTTAAAATGAAATAATTAAAGTTGACTTTATGTAAAAGTAGGAGAGAGATGATGCGAAGTGATAGTTAGTTAAAATTACGTGAGTAGATAAATAGTAGTAAATTAAAGTGGATGTGATGTGTAAGAATGATTGGTTGGTATTATTTAATTATATTGGGGATAGTGGGGTTGAGTTAAAGTTGAGTTAGATTTTGAGTATGAATTAAGTATGGATTGAGATATTTGATATACAAACACACCCTAAGTCTTGCAGCTCTCCCTTCTCATGCATGGTATCAGTTGGTATTTTTCACACCTATTTATTCGTTACACAAGTGAAGATTTTTGAATTTTTATGTGTTTGTTTTCAGGTAAATCAGCATGTCCATGTGGTGTCAAATACTCATGGGTCTCGTATTGATGCCCCTGTCAGAGGTGAAGTGTTTTCCCAGCATCCGTCATTCTTTCCTCCATCTGCTGTCAGTAATAATGTGCGAGAACATGTCGGCTATAATTCATCGCAACCTGTGGAATATGGAAAGAGTGATGGAGGATATTTGAATACCCAAGCTCCTCCTCAACAGAGGCAACCTTTTCAACCTGGCACTGTACCTTTTGCTCAACGACCTCATCACGAACCATTAAGTCAACAAGCGCCTAGTCATTTTACCTATCCAAACACTGGCCCCCAGCAAAATCTGTACCCCCTTTACCAGGCACCAAATTTTTCAGACGGTGCAAGGAGAAATGCTACTGATGACCGTTGGCGGATGCAAGTAAATGAGTTCAATCCTGATGGTTCGCGCAGGGGGTGGACAACTGGAGGAAGGTCATGTTCTGATCAACCCTATTCACATGAAGGTGCAAATTTTACTCTTTTACAGTGAGTTGTGCGATTATATTATTATGATTGGCTTGTTCTGTTCTAGGACCCTCTGTTAAAATTTGCTTCATTTTTGGTGAATTGTGTATTTAGATGGATTTTCATTAAAACTGACATATTGAGAAGAGAGCATATCTCAATGAGATGATGACTAGGGTGGTGATGTTATTTTTTTTTAATATTATACTTCCTGAGGAACATATAGTAGTCTTTCACCAGGTGATAATATGAATTGCTCTGATTGGTGCTTTTACTAGGAGATGCTTAATCCTCTTATATTCTAATAATTGACTTAGTTGCTAAGGTTTGCTGTAGAAGTGTGAACTAAAATGTTGTTGAATTTAAGCAGTGCTTATTTCTTTTCTTCACATTTTTTTCGTTCTTGTAACTCATAACAATGGATGGCAATTGCCCGTTTCATTTAATTTTTGGTCAACGTGCCTATATTTACCCTGCTAATGGTTCCAGATCAACTTTTTTACTCGTGTTCATGAATGACCTTATTTGTTTTGCGTCCTCAACCAAATTGGTAGCATTTTCAGATTTGTACTCGAAGTTTGCAAGCGAATGTATCTGCTAGATTTGGTGGATAGTAAGCTACACACAATAAACTATGTTAGAAGGGGCACACTTGGATTCCAGATATTTAATTTGCTTTAAATGACAATGCTCACAATCATATGTCGGAACCTGAGCGTTGCATTTTGATATAGTTTTATTCTTAGTGTGTTGACGGATAATTTCTTAAGTCTTCTACTGATAAGGGAAACTTGATGATGGCTTTCAAAGAGCTTCGACAAAATTACTTCTAGAAATAATTAAAGTTTTGAGGTAATGACAACCCAAGTCATGAGCATATGTAATAACAGGTTATTTTGGACCCCCTCTGGAAAGGCCTCCCACAAATGTTAATTTGCAGTCCTCCGCAGCAAATAATCTACCAGCTGCTCCAAGCGCAGGTTATCTTACTGGAAACAATGAGTTGCTTGTTATCCACGACTTTCATGATCACTAAAATTTTTTCCTCACACTGATCCAACTCTATGATGTATTTTTGTCACAGTTCATGGTGTCCAGATAATGCATAGCAGACCAGATGTGCCTGCTGGCAATTGGAGGCCAGCATAAGGGATTTTGTGAAATTTATTAGATTCATGGTGAGCTTTTTGTTCCTCTGCTTTGGAGCAAATTTCTTGCCTACCCATTCTGGGACTTGCATGCACTGAAATTACAAATACTTACATGAGCTGACAAAACATAACTTTTAAATGGGCTGACAGGAAATTTTTTATACAATGTCCTTTTGGAGCACATTATTTAAATGCGGAACATTCTGGACTTGTTTCTTGAATCAGAAGGGTGTTTTGGAGAAAATTTGAGGTCCGATGTACTACTACGTGATATGATTAGCAGTTTATCTGCATTTTAAGCTGAGTGCAAGTTTTAGGATTTTGTTATAAATCTAAGATGGTGAGTGTTATGTGTTTGAGTGGAAACACTTTATTTCCCTAACTTTCTCAAGATAATGAACTAACTGCTGTAAAATGATAAAAGAGAATTACGAGTCCAATGATGGGAATGTCTGGTCCTAAGTGCATTGCAAATTATCTATAAGCGTAAACTACCATTTCCTTCTAAAAACGCAATATTTTTATCCTGGAACAGTGTCCTATGCACATAAGACATGTTTCCATATTACACGTGTAGGCATTTACTCACATACTATGTCACATTTTAAGATATAAAATGTTAAGATTACTTTATATGTGTAGAAATGATTGCATATATATTTGTATGTCATATACATACATTCATACACATTTTCATCTTGTTCAGTTAATCATTTTAAATATCTCATATCAAGGACTGATTGTATCTTGTCATGTTGCCTGCGTTTTCATGTTACAGCTTATGATGCTGGGAGAATCGGCCCTAATAATGCTTCAACAGATACCATATTTATGTGGATATGAAATTGAACATTGAGAAGTTGTGGAGACCCTTGGCAGGATTGTCTATATTAGAATTTTTTTCCTGACAAATGCATCCCCCCGCACATACTTCTAAGTGTAAGCCATTTTTGCTTATTATACCGACGCTTGTAGTTATATTCCTATATCTGATGGAAGTAAATCTAATCGAGGGTACATTTCAAGTCTGTGAATATCAGTTTTGTGACTTTACTACTGCATTAGCCCTTCCTGCCTCCCATTCTTTCTTGAGTGCATGTGATTATTCCTTTTCTGCTTTGCTTTGGCTGCCATGTCATCTGGTTGGGTAATTGTTCGAAACTTTCAAACATTTAAAAATTTTATGATTTACCTTATGAGAGAATTCCTGCTTGTTAATTGTGTTAAGTGCATTTGAAAATTTGTTCCTATCTGAATGTGTGTGTGTGTGCGCGCGCGCGTGTTCAGGATTCTGTTCAAATTTTATGTCTTTTGAGGGCTAGAGATTAAATTGAGCATATTTTCTAGCATAAATTTATCTAGACTTTATTTTGTGATAATTTATTTTTTTTTTTTTTTTAANTAGTTCATCATTTGATTTGTTGGGAAGTGAGAGAGGATTAGTAACACGGGTAGTTTAGCTTTAATCATGATTCAGATACTTTAAAGCTTGCTGCTTATTCGAATTCACACGTAAATGCCCTGTTTGATTCACTCTGAGGAAGAGTCCCGGTTCTTTATAAACCAGTCTGTGATAGTCAAGTTTTTATCGAATGACTTAGTTTTTATTAACCCCTCAACTTAGGAACTAGGCCAAATGACCATCTGTTTAAAGCCCTGTTGCTCGACTAGACATAAGCAGCTTGAATTTGCATAAAATTTTATTTTTGTTTAATTTACAATAATAATATGGTCCTTTTCTGCAATACTTTGAAGAGAGGAGAACATGAAAGTTGGAGTAACCGGACCATTATTCACTGGCAAATACTGCATGGTTCAAGGTGATCTGGTCTGTTATACCATTCACATAATTGATTTTGTGGAAATACTTGAATTTGAATGTGAAACTGAAAAATTAGACCTTGAAATGCTCTCATAATTTTGGGGTTCGTTACCAGAAAAGATAATTAAGATGCAACNNNTAAAAAAAAAAAAAAAAGGGTAAAGTTGGGTCTAATGTAACAACCTTGAACTTGTCAGTATTACATTTTGAAGATTGTTACTAAGATATATGTTTTTAATTTTATTAACATTATTTGGCCTGTCAGAAGAACTCAACAACTTGGGTCGTTTCAAATAAAAATAATCAATTATTATTTAATTTCAAATATCTATTATTTTGGGACAAGGTGTTACTATATTTATCTAAGCCTGAATACCTGATATTTACATGATGTGTGTACAACATTTCTCTCTTCCTTCCTGGAAAGAATCCATTATTAAAACATCAATGATGGGGACAATTTTCCTTAATTGATACTTGATATGATTCTGAAATTTTTCCTTTAATTGATACTTGATACGATTCTGAAATTAACGGAACACAAGCATCTGCTCTACCTACTACATTTTGAAAATAAGTATGACTCAAATCAAATTTGAGAAGCGTTCTTCTAGCACGTGGTGCATAAAACAAAGGGCAGTATTATTTTTTTTTTTTAATATTAGCTTATTTTTTCATTTATTATAGGTGAACTATTTGAAGTATTGCGGGAAGACACTGAATAAATTTTGTGGTAAAAAAATATAATATTCAAGATAATTTAATTTCTGAATTTTGATATAATTTAATTTTGATTGTTGCTTTGTAAGTGTGTGTATATAAATATATATTATTTTCTAAATTTAACTTGTAACTTGTATTAATTTAGTGAATACAAACAAATAATTTGTTGTGTACTTGTGTAGGTTTTTTTTACCCATGTGACAGTATGTGTGTGTGTGAACTAACTATTAATAAAAATCTGGATCGAGCTTTCCTTTTTTATGACATATGGTTTAGTTTTGATTTTAGACATATTTTATTTGTTTGTGTTGGATGCTTTCGCAGTAATTAACTGTGTACACCTAGCTTTCTAGTGTTTTTAAAGGAGGAGTACTTAGAGGATTACTGATTTGACTTAAAATGTAACTAATTGAGAAAAAAAAAAGTAAACTTAGAAAGGAAAAAGAAAAAATTGTATTTATGTGTGTGTAGTGTAGCTGGCTATTTGTACTTGGGCACAATGTTTAATTAATTTGTATTGACTTCTCAATTTTGTCAAATTCTTGAGAGGATTTAAATCACTTGACAATTAATTAGGTTTAATTCGATTAGATTTGTCGTTTTCTCTTTGACAAAATTGGGTGTTTTTTTTTTAAGGATGGGCAACACATTTTATTTTTATTTTATTTTATTATGCAACACAGAAAGAGCTGACGTTGTTTACCTAATGAAGGGAATCCCATCTACGCGGAAAGAGGTCGGTGATTTGAACTCCGAAGCAACATTCAAAAGGGGTTGACTTTCTTTGTCACATTAATATGATATTCAATTTATTCAATTTTACTAGTGCGGAGAATTTGGAAAATAATAAAGAATATCAATTTAACATGCATAGTTTAATGATGAGATGTTTTGAACATTGTTAACAAAAACGGAATCTGTCAAAGGATTATGGGTGGGTAAAAAAAATTCACATAAAACTTTATGCCTATTTTTCTAAGACTGTACTTTCTCATAGACAAATTAAATATAATCAATTGAAATATATATTAATTAAATAATAAAAAAGATTAATTATTATATTTAATTTAAATATATAATAAATACATCTAAATCCGTTGACCAGTGTAGACCGCCAACGGCGATCAGCGGCGAGCTGAGAGCTGGGGACCAAGGAATTTAGCTCTGGTCGCCACCCGCCACATCCCCCCCTGTTGCTGCGACCCCAATGAGTCGACCATCGGCATCTCCGGTCTCGAATCCATTGCCACCGTAGCTGCCCCCCTCCAGAGCTCCAGCGATGCAGAACCGTGGTCAAACTTCTCCAAATTCAAGGGTTCTACCAGCATACAGAACGAGATGCATCGCAAATATCATGCGAAGCCGTCTCAGATCGGAGCTCCATGTTCACTCCTTCGCGGCTGAGGACATGAGGGTCTCTCGCGGGTGCCATCGATCAACGCAGACACCACTAGAGGGTTTCCTGGCTGAGGAATGACGGATGCATCTTGTGGTAGTCTCCAGAGACGGCGAAGAGGGCACGTCGTGTGAGAGGACGACGAGGATTAGAGAAAGAGTGCTGAAAGTTTGATTTGGGCTAGGGACTTGTATTTGAAAATTAGATAATTTATGAGGTTTTAGGTGCACTTTCAGAAACTTAAGTGATTGCAATTAGATTCTTGGGTTTAATCTGTAATTTATTTATGGTTTGAATAATTGTAATATGGTCCTTGAGTTTATATATTATATAATTAATGCACATTTAGTTTATTTCTTGTGCATAGTTAAATAATACATTTTAGTTATAAATAATGCTTACTTAATTGAGAAAAAGAAATGTATTTTTAGTTCATAATGCATATTTAGTTTACTCATCGTGCATATTTAGTTATAAGAAATGCATATTTAGTCCATGTGAGGTCTATCCATAGCCATTTATTTGTGTACATCAATGGATCATATTAATCAATTAAAATTTATATTAATTATATAATAAAAAATATTAAGTATTATATTTAAGTTATACACACTTAATTGCAAATTTTCGCTGCATATNAAAACAAAAGAAAAGGAAAAAAAAAAAACAACAACCAAAGCGAAAGATCTGAGACTGGGCTGACAGGTGCCCAGACGAACAGTCTGCGCCACGAGTGGGCTAAAGCATAGAAACCAAAACGACTATCCAAATCTGAACGAGGGTAACCAATCTAATCCTTCCGCACAAGAGTACGGAGGTGAAGAGGAGCGTCGTCCGGCTGAAAGATGCGCCTCTGGGGAGTGGAGGCATCAATGTAAGCGAGGAAGTCAGCGGGTCGGTACCCCTCGCGGAAGATGTTCGATATCCTGTAGCGAACCGACTGAAGTGTAGATCTGCTGCACATGAGCGGGTGCTGAATCTGCCATGAAACCTGGTGGCGTAAGGTCAAGAGGGTGACGACAGCGACAGCATCCAACACTATCCAAATGTGATAAGAGATGGAGGTTGGGATCTGAAGACCGAGATGAAGTGTCTGAACCTCCGCGTCATAACTCGAGGTGGCCTGAAGAGGGGCGTGCAAGGCGGTAATGAGATCTCCGTTGTGATTACTAATCAGGCCACCGCCTTCGATTGCTCCTGTAAGTCGGTCAAAAGATCCATCAGTGTTTAGCTTAACCCAAGGGGAATCGGGTCTCAGTCAAACAACGGCTCTGGGGTGTGGGTGTTGGACAGGCGGCAGCGGAGATGGTACGAAGTGGTGGGGCGGCGTGCAGTTTGTCCAGTCTCTAGGTGTGAGTCTGCCCAGAGCTGTGAGGAGAGAGAGATGTCGATCAACCTGCAAAACAACGTGAGAGCACATAAAAGTAATAGTCCTATGCTCCGCACTATCCCTTTCTGATGGACCACATGATCAGACAAGGAATGAGGAAGCCCACATGTCTAAAGTGTGTGCGCTGTGAAAAAAAACTCAAGAGCTCAAAAAAACTGTTTGTAGTGGGAAGGGGTATGAGTGTAAGTGGCGAAATGCTCCTACACTCTCCTTGTAACCTCGCTCTCTAAAAACAAATGGAAAAAAATGTCAGTTTGGAAATGTCAGGTCTCAGCACAACAGAAACACTGCGAAGGAAAGGAAAACCCTCTTGTCTGCATCAGAGCGTCAATCAGAATTCGGTGCAGAAGTAGACATGGCCAAAACAAGGGCAGGGTCACGGCCCAGCCCGGCCCGCCAGGTACTCACTCACTTGCTGCTTGAGGATCGTTCGGTCTCAGGACCGCACTTGCTCTTGCTTTCCTTTCTTTCACAGATTCAATCCTTTAGCTACAGACTTCTTCGTTGTCTTCTGTCGTAGCAAATTATATTTTTACCGATTACGGGATGACTCCCGACCTCGGGTCGATCTCTCAAGGAAGGCGGTTCGAAATTTAGCTTTGGTATCGATAACACAGAAAAAGCGAATAAATCCTACACACTCTAATCAGATAAAGGGATTGAATAATTGCTAACTAAGAAATAATAAAAAGCAAGAATCTACCTAAAAATGCGAACGGAACAAAGATGGAGAAGCTAGGGAATCAGAGATAATCAATTCAAGTTCTAGCCAAGCCGGGAAATTAATCGCTCGGTTCGAGATTGACACTCTCGCTTAGACATGTAGCGGTTCGTTCTCAATAACTCTTCGTAACAAGGGATTGAACATAGACGAACAAACTCGAGCATACGACACAGGCCAATTATCCCAGTCCCATTAACTTTTCGTAACAAAGGATGGGTCATCGACAAGCACGTATTTCAATCCAAAACCTATAGACTATTCAATTACAAAATCATCTACATCATGCGAGCCTAAGTCTACGACTTCTCCCCTTTCGGTTCTAAAAGTCGCTAATTGACTAGAAGGTGATTAATCAACTAATTATTTAGAATTGACAAACCCTAACTCGACAAATTAACATTCAATCATTTCCAATCGCAAGATCAAAGTGTCACTCTTCGATTATATCAATCAATCGAGCACAAACTCATCAATCCTGAATTAATTCACTCACATAAGCATGAACAATCTTGAGCCCGACAAATGCACATCAAACAAGAATAATCATCTCCTATCCCTAGCAATCAGAATTAGCTACGTAAATCAAATTCAACAAACATAATCATTCTACTCAAGTCAACCATTATTCATGAATTAAACAAGAGAAAGGAATACTTACAATCAATCCAAGTTCAAATATTGAATTCGAATTACAAGCTTAATCCCTAACTAAAAAGAAGAAGAAGAAAAATGAAAGATAAGGGTGAAGTAAGGAAGAAAAACCATGGAGAAGATGAGAGGAAAAGAAGGAAAATAGAGGAGTTTTGTCGTGCTTCCTCGGGACCTAGGGTTTGCACCCCGGTCAAGCGTGTCTTCATTTCTAAAGACCCCGATGCATATATATATATGAGCAGGTGGCCACGGGCGTGAGGGTCTTGGCGCAGCGCGAAGGGGACAGGCGTCGCGGCGCGGGGCACTNTTTGATTCCGCTTTTTCCTGTGTGTCGCCAACGAAACTCTGTATTTAATCATGTTCACTCGGTCCAATTTCCACTTGACTTCCGGTTCTCCCGAGACTTTCAACCTGCACACAAAAAATGAAAGAAAACAGGAAAAATACACGAAAAACACAGAAAAGGACCAACTGAAGGAAATCACGCAACAAAACACAAAACACACTAAAAGCGAAAGAAAAGACCTAAGATGGGGGCAAAAAAAGAGTAAAACAAATACGAAAAACGCAACAAAAATGGTACAAATATCTTCTCAAACGGCGAAGCCTCCTCTGGGCTTGAAAACAAGGACTTGGACCTGGCACGGACCTATGCTCGTGTCGGGTCAATAGCCCGGTTAAAAAAGCGGGCCATCGGTCCGGACTGGGCACGGCCAGGGTCATGAAAGAATGACCCTGAAACAGCCCGTCAAAAATCCGGTCCGAGCTCAGATCCGTGGTCAACAGTCTTGATCGGGCCGGGTCAGGGTTGGGTCGGCGGGCCGGGCGGCCCGTGGCCACTTCTACGCAGAAGGAGGCGCTAAAGGAAGATAGAGATGGTCGGGGTAAGCAGGTCGGTCCAAATGGCTCCGACGAGAAGGTTAGGTCGATCACACAACCGAACTTCCCCCCAAGCCGAGGTCGTAGAATATGCACCCGAAGATGTAAGTCTCCACCTCATATTATCCGAACCGTATTCCGAGAGAGAATATGTTGGATCTTATCTAAAACTTGGTTACTAAAACCCGCTCTAGTACCCAACACCCTCTCTAACCTATCATTATCCCTATCCCAAGCCCCATCAGACCACAGGTCTTTCACCCGCAAAAAAAGAGAGTGAGTGACCTGCCTAGAACTTGAAAAAGGCCCCTCACCAAACCACCACTCATCCCAAATGCTAACATCCCCCTCACCAAATAATATTCACTTATCTTATTTTACCTTTTTATTGTCAAAATTTGAATAAAATTTTTAAATTAAAATTTAATCGTTAATGCATATTTTTCTATAAATTAATTATTCAACACTCACATATTTAAAATTATCAGTTATTATTATATGATTTTTTTTCTCTCATCACAATTAATAATTACTCTTTATATTATATCATTTTACATTACTATATTGTTAAATTTTCGACAAATTGTTTTTTTCTCTAATGAACACAACATTTTTGTTCGATAAAAATAAATCCAATTTCACCGCGAAATTTATTTACATGTGACAATTAAACTAGGGCCGCGTTTACTAGCAAGGACAGGATTGGATTAGGTCGGTTAACCAACCTAATCCTTCGTTTACTAGGCAAGTTAAGGATAGGAAAAAAATGACGTGTAGATTAGCTGGCTGGTGGGTCCGCTCACATTAAAATGACGTGTGAGGTTAATTCAATCCCCACAAGTTGGCCGGATTTTTTAATCCTCTCTTTTATATTCCAATTTTGTCCAAAATGTAGGCAGCAAATTGTCCATTATACCCCTTAATGTCATCAAATTTACAGATCTAGTAATTATAAAATCAACAAACTCTTACTTCCGCTTCTCCTTCGAATTCTTGCAGCAATCTGCTCGAACTCGAGAACCCTAGCAAGTACGCCGTAAATGCCCTATCTTCTGCTTCTCCTTGTCCTTCGAATTTGAGTTGCTTTCTTCGTCTTTCTTGTAATTGCTCGTCTTGTGAACTCGCAGGTGTCGCTTGTTCTTGGTCGACAGATCCCGAGAAGAAATACTCCCAACCCAAATTCGAGGTCATGAATGTACTAATTTCTGCTTCAATTTTTTTGTTCTTCCGTCGATTTTTTGTGCCCTTGCCGGACGCCGTTACGTTCTGTTTAATTACAATTTCTGATTCTGTTAATTTAAATTTTGTTGTTCATCATCGGTATGTAGATGTGACAGTAGACTCTTCTCATTTATTGTTCATTTTTATATTTTTCTTCCATATTTTTTCCCATCGAAATGCCTATATGTTTGCAGAGGATTTCTGATTCATTTAATTTAATTTTATTTTTTAAACATTGATATATACATGTCACAGTTCAATCTGATATGGCAACTTTTATGCGAGCTAGTTGGTGAAATAGTTTGGGTTGAACATGAAATACTAGATACATTCTGTTGCAACACTGCCAATCTTGTAACTTATATTTTATGTTTTTATATATACTGCCAATATTGAAATATAGGACTTAGTATTTGCTGTTGGATTGCTGTGGTAGACATCTCTGTGCAGAGTTGCTCTCTCTGTTTCTGTAAATGGCTGGAGTTTCAGTTTTTATATTTGGTTTGTAGTTTTCTTTTTTGTTGCTGTCTTAGTTTGCTGTTTCTGCTTTTAGGAACCTCAATAAGTTGTGGACTGGGGGTGTATAAATAGGTGATGTTGCTGTTAGGAACCTCAATAATTTTGAAAAAAAAAAATCAAAAGTACTGTAAGGTCACATGCACTTCATTAGGAGTGCTCTTTACAGCAAAACATTCAAAAAAAAGTTCTTGCAACACAACAAATCAATCACTGTTTGATAACATGCCTTACAAAAGGAATAGTCCATACTAAAGGACATACAAATTCACATGCAATATACTTTATCTCGTCATATACATCCACACCACTGACATTAGAAGTAAAATAACTAAAAATCTATTCTTCTTCTTCAATTGATGAATATCTTTTTCTAATTTCTTCATCTTTTTCTTGTACATCTCCAGCTCATGAAGTTCACTTGCACATTCGACATTTTAACGAGTTTTTTGAGCTTCTAAACGGTTAATTTTACGCAACAATCCGGGAATTATTTCTTTTGATCTTGCACACATCGGAGGGTCAAACCAATTCCAAAAGGTACAACCATTTTCGCTACAATCCACGTACCTCCTCCCTGGGTTGGCAGGGGTCCATGAAGTTTGTAGACGAGCAACCGAACCACAAAAAGAACAAACACCGGCTTGTCTCCATGTTGAACTTGAAGAGCTCATTGTCGGCCTGTACCTGGTTTGAACAAAAACAATTTGCATCTGTTATCAAGCCATTATATAATACAACAGCTCTTAGAATTCATTGCATGTCACAAGACTAATAAAAGAAGAAGATGACACTGAAAAAATTCACATTATTCAAGTCAGAGGAAGTTGCATTGTGCCATTTGCATCTCTTAATTTTTCACAAAGTT